TCCCAGCAAAACCCAGGCGTGTCTATTTCCCTCCAAACGGAGGCAATTTCCGCTGACTTCTATTTTCCGGAATGTATCCGTTCCGATAACTGAGTATCGTGAGCTTCTTGGCGTACCTCTGACGCCCACACTCAACTTTGGCTTCTATATATAAAGTCGAAAGCTCAACTGGCTGGTAGGCAGTTGAGAGTCGTACGGAGGGTGAGACGGTACTTCACGCCGAAACAATTGCTGAGCCTGTACCATGCACAGGTTCGTGTATGTAATACTGTTCTCATCTTTGGAACGGCTCGGCTGAATATAAACGCGTTAGAGCCCATCGAGAGGCGTGCCCAGAGGCTCATCAACGATGATGCGCTTGTGAAGGGCCGGCTTGATTGCCCCTGGTCCTTTCCATAATCACACCACAAAACAATCGACGAAGCGTCACCGATTCATGGTAGATGCGAACCCACACAAACGAAGTGCTTCGCAGCAAGCTTCCTTGTGCGTAGGTACTGCTAAGAAGTGGAATTCTTTGCCAGAGTCTGTGTTTCTTGAAGGGTATTATAACCTGGGCGTCTTCAAGGTCCGAGTGAATAGGTTGCTTATGGGTCGGTGTGCGAGATAGTAGTCACATAGTAGGCGGCTAATCAAATAAAAAAAAGGTTAACTAATGACTGATTTGTTTCGAAATTCTGCAAATAAGCAATTTTTATAACGCCCTATTATTATAGGTACACCTCCATAAAACCCATAATGATCATCATCATCAGTTCAGCTCAGGTTCACCCATAACACTTCTCGGTTATATTCCTCTACCATCTGTTTCCAAGGTTTTTAAAATGGTCCTTGAAAAATTTTGCCTAAAATGAAACGTTCAATTCAAAACGTCAATAACATAACCTCAATGTTTCGTATTGATTGACTTTACATGCAGGCCGGGCGACTAGCTATATAAGTATAATTATGTTCTTTAAAATGGTATAACTGCCTGCAGTATAGTGTGTTAACCAGTGCTTTTCTTAAGACAATCGCTGTGTGTTCTTAGTTAGAATAGTTCCTAAAGACTTATAAACCTGTTGCGGAGAATATAACCATCACGTGTACGATTACCTTATTTATTTAAAATTAAAAATGGATTCTCCCGTATCTGCCTTCGCTATGTATAAAGCAAATACTTCTTCGAACAAAGCAAAGAAACAAAAGAAAAGGAATAAATCAGGGACACAAGTTCAACCAATTTCTCCGAAACCATTGCCACCACACCTAACTAATGAGAAAAGACAGATGGAACTCGCACAAAAACTTAAAAAGAAACAAAAAAAATCCAAAGATCTTAAAAGCATCACGAAGAAGAAGCTGCATAAGAAGAAGAAGAATCGGGATGATAAAAAACCTCACTCTAAAGTAAAGAAAGAAGTGCTAAACCAAAGCAGTGCTCCGAGTGAGCAGGATGACGAACCACCCGTACTTCTTATGAGGCCGGTCACTGAAACAACAGCTAATCCTGAAGAAAGTTCCGCAGATGAAGTGGAAGTTATTGATAATACAGGTGAAGGACAATTTGAAGAGTTCAAACCAGTACAGACAGACAGTGTGGAAGAAGGACTCAAAGTATTCCAGTGGATGATTGCACCCTATGACACTGATGAATTCTTCAACAATATTTGGGAGAAAAAGCCATTACACATAGCCAGAGGAAAATCCAATTACTACAAAGACATATTGACCACACCAGCTATAGATGACATGATGCGCAATGAACACATACAGTTCACTAAAAATATAGACATTACTTCATACATTGACGGAAAAAGAGAAACGCACAATCCAGAAGGGCGGGCCCATCCACACTTAGTGTGGGACTTCTACTTAAATGGATGTAGTATCAGATTACTCAATCCACAAACTTATATTTCAAAATTACATTTGATTAATGCGACTATGCAGGAATTCTTCAACTCCTTCGTTGGAGCCAATGCATACCTTACACCACCTGATAGCCAAGGGTTTGCACCACATTATGATGATATAGAAGCATTCATATTACAAACAGAAGGTAAAAAACATTGGAGGATTTACAAACCGTTAAATGAAAGTGAGATCCTCCCTCGTGTTTCTTCCAAAAACTATGATCAGGAAGAAATAGGTAAACCAATAATGGAAGTAACTTTAGAAGCAGGAGACATGCTTTACTTCCCCCGTGGTTACATTCACCAGGGGGTCACAATAGAAGGTGAACATTCTCTCCATGTTACAATTAGTATGTATCAGAAACATTCTTGGGGAGATTTGATGGAGTTGATAATGCCAACTGCACTGCAAACGGCAATTAATGAAAATGTTGACTTGAGGAGAGGCCTTCCGTTTGACATCTATGATCACTTTGGTCTAGTCCACTCAGATTCAAAGACACCTCGGAGACAAGAAATAACTAAAGTGATATTAAGTCTTTTTGATAAAATTAAGAAATGTTTAACGTCTGGTCTACGTTACATCAACATGCATTTGATAAAATTAAGAAATGTTTGCCAATTGATGAAGCAGTAGATCAGATGCATACGAAATATCTTCGTGCTGCACTACCACCCGTGCTGAATGACCCAGAGATGTTGGTGACAGTGTTTGGAGATACTGATGTGATGATAGAGAATGGTGTGGTTACAAGGAGAGTGGAAATTAGTCCAGACACAAGGATAAGATTGCTACGTAAGAATATTATTAGAATGGTGATGGAAGATAAAATTAAAGTATACTATAGTGTAGAAAACTCTTTAGAATACCATGGAAATGAGTTGCCTTATGTTGAAATAGAGGATGAAATGGCTCCAGCAATAGAAGCTTTGATAGCTGCATATCCAGATTATATTACTGTGGAAAGTCTAGACTTGCCTTCTGAACCCGAGAAGCTCAGTCTAGCTGATGCGCTGTGGAGTAGAGGAATAATTATGACTGAATATCCAATGGAAGAAGTGGAAGATTAAATAAAATGTACCTGTAATTGATTATGTATCCGATTTGTTTTATTTATTATCATACTTAAACTGTGTAATCCATTGATTATAAGTAGTAGTGCTGCAATCTATTCCATGTTTTGATAAATTTCAAATTATAATGTGTAAGATAAGTTTAATCAGTCAAGCAGTTGTGTAGTGATGAAAATCTCATGGAATCCAAATAGTATTAGATTGTGATTGCAATAAAACACTCAGTTTTCTTAAATCATTATATTTATTTTAAATTGCATATAAATTTGTGGACTTTCTGTTACAATAGTACTCTCGAACTGATATCTTTTTTGTATAAAACGCTAAAATTATGTTTTACAACTATTGTACCAGAGTGCCATGACAATGTCGCAAACATTCGTTCCACTCAAGTAGGTACACGTTATAAACAGAAAATACACACACAATAATTTATACTCTAAGCTTATTCATTTCTCTTCAAGAAATTAACCTATTTAAAAATACCACCTAAAATTTAGGTACTTAAGATTTCCTAATGTTCACACACACTCTCACGCTCTCGACGAGCACTGTTATTGATAACAACGTAAGGGTAAAATGGAAAACAATTTAACAAAAAATATATGAGGACATCACCACTAGTGTATAAACAATCTTAATCGGGTAAGTAACTAAAGTAGAATCGGTTCCAACCTGTGTACTATCGTGTCAACGTGTCGATGAACTAGTCTCCAGCAAGCTAAGTACTTGGGGCTGCCGACCGAGCGACTGAGCGAGCGAGCGAGCGACCTACATGACAACTGTTGTGACTGCTAAATATATTTCATTTATCTACTAGCTAGACACTTTAGTTCCTCTTGTACAGGCAGTGATTAATTTAAAACATTTGGTATACGACTGTACATGTTACAATCTGAATCACAATTTCACAATGAATAGCTTGGTCCAAACAGTAAATCATAGAACTAGGACGAAGACATTTTTCAAATTTCTTCTACATGACGAGTTCGAAACATGTGACAGGTTAGTTCCCAGTTCCCTCAAACCGCGACAGGACACTTTCTATATCTTAATTCAAAAATAAACACTGATCATATCAAAATATATTTTTATGTGAAGCAAAACGTCCAATGATAAAACATTATCTGATAAATTTTAAATTCTTTTGTACTGATATACAAGATTTTCGACGCAATACCTAATTCAATTCTACGCAAACTTTAGAATTTTTAGCCTAATCTTATTTAATAAAAAGAAACTTCTAAATCTATTGCCTAATTGTCGAGGCGGACCGCCTCCGCGTCTCATCAACCGCAACCTGGTTAGGGATTAACTACATTTACACGCATCGTCCTATTACATAGTTTTCAAAACATCGTCTTCGTAACGCGCAGTCACTGAAAATTAAAGTATAAACGTTCATTACATTTGTAACATTATTTTTTTTATAGAAAATAAAACAGAAATCAAACAATTCTTTATGGCATAAAATTAAAGAAAAAAGAAATTACAACAGTAAGAAAATATACTTTTAAGTTTCGAATCTCATTTTCTTCATAAAATAGTGACTTTCCGCTGTACGGAGAAATGATACGTAATATTAGCTATTGCTTGGCTATGCTAATACAAACTGTACAACGACAACAATAGTGTAATATAATATTCTGTCAATATTTCATAATGTAAAAAGTTTATTATAATAATTTGAAAATGGAATACTTACGCCCAAATACAAAAAGGCTACTCAATTTTAACTTGTCCTTAAATATTGAGCGATCTCTGTCATTATACAAAGAATTTGTAGTAACAGAATACTTAAGCTCGACTTAAAATCGAGTGACATTTGAGTATTTGGACATCAAACTGCGAACATTAAATGTAGCTATCCCCTAGAAATGACGTTGTTAACATTTCCTTAAATGTAAATATTTACAAAGAACGAAGTTTCTTACATTTAGTAGTTAGTTCGCGTTAGTAAAACTATATTAACCTGTTAATTCGCTCTCCACTCTCCTTATCATATACCGTACAATATCAATACATTGTGATGTCGACTGTCACTATTACTCTATCGCCATCTTACACTACACGATCAACTCTTATAATTCATCTAAAATTTGAATTAATATAAAAATCCTTTCTTTTAAAATGCCCTAAATATATCGAATTCCGAGGTAGAACATTATTCTATATCTAATCTCTCAAAATCAGCAAAATATTGCTATGAAAACATTCGTTATTTTGTCAATTCGAAAACGCCATAATATGCGAGTTCATATTCATGTAGTGTAAGTTCGCACAAAATTCCATTATTGCTTCAGGTTTCAAACATCAGAAAGTTTCCATATAAAACAAGTTAGATATAATATAACCCAACATGGCAACACAGACTGGGTTCTTACATAAAATGTTCCTATTTTTAAACACATTCAACATCAATTTCCCGCCAAATATGACGGACACCGTCGCGGTGTGACCACATAAAAATTAATTTCGTTGCTACAAAAATTTCAGAACCCAAAACATTGCGCTTTATTTAAAATCTTATAACCAAGTAACTTATCAATAGATGTATTGAAAGCAAAAATACACAAATTGTGCTATTTGTTATAACAATGTACTTCATTTCATAATATAAAGAAATATGTTTAGTAAGTATATATCATACCAGATTCCAGCAAAATGTAAAATTACAATAAACCATGATGATGCAGACAGAAGTGATCCACAATAAATATATCTAATAAAAGATACAACTCATTCTCGCTGGAAATGGAAGTTGGGAAATGAATTAAGTTTATACATTCATTGCATTATGCATTGTTAATAAATTGACAATTATTTATTTATATTTTAATTAATAAAAGAGACAAAAAACCGTCTCTATAGTTTACTTTTGCACCTCCCTGGTTCACTAAGCATTGCTTATTAACAGAAGAAGACTGATTGGTGGATTTTCCACTGCCAACCCAGTCATCTGTTATATAATATTAATATGTTAACGAACATTAAATAAAAACTCTAATGTCCAACTAACCCACTAACCAAATTCCAAATCGAGCGTAACAAAATAAGAACAGACCATCCATTATCCAATCCTTGACGAATTCCAAATATCGGCCCGGGGAACCTAATATTAACGTTAAGACACTTAACAGTACATAACATACGTACTTGGTCATAGAGTTCGTTCATTATAGAACTGTCGGCACACGACTGTGGTACACAAGTATTATTTCTTCGCGGGCGGTTTCCTCGGCGTGCGGGTAGTCTTACCCGTCGATGTGGACGGCGTCGGAACTATCGGCGACGCTTTCGCTTCTGTAATAGATGATACTACAATTAATTACATAGGTTGTAAGTATGAGTTACCCGCGGCCAAAATCAATTACAAAAATCTGTAGATTGACGTTTTTGACAGGAACTTTACACAACTAATAAAAAATTGATCTTCATCATCATCTACAAGTGTGGAAGAGCCATGCTTCGGCAAGAATGGGCCGGCTCGGTGTGAGTGAGGTTACCGGAGGCCCAATTCTCCCCTTCCCCAATCTCCCCAATTCCTGAATCCCCAACGATCCTCAAACTCCTAATCCCCAAAAGGCCGGTATTACACTTGTAACGATAATTTTCTCACTTCACAAATAAGTACATTACAAGTAAAGGTTACCTTTACCGGCTGCTCTCCTGCCTTTGCGCGTGGGTGTGGCGACCGGAGTCTCCACTTTCTGTTTGGCTGGCGTCCGCTTGGCTGGTGTACTCTTCGCTTTAGACTTCTCACTCACTGCTGTAGCAGTCTGATGAAATTAAAAACATTAGTATTAAGAAAATATGTCAAAAACACTTATTAACTTTTATAACTTAATTTTCATTAAAACATTTAAGTACTACTATTGATTATAATCAGTTCCAGTTAATAAATATGTAATTAAATTTTAAACAAATACAGAATTAATTCCATGCAACACGCGCATGCTAATAAATTGAAAAATTGCAAATTATAGAAGAAAACAGGCTAAAAAGTTGAGAAAATAAAATTATAATAACATAAAAATAATTTTGAACACAAAAGCAAGCAATGAAATGAATGAATATGAATGTATAATGATAATTATACTCGGAATTTTAATTCGATTCCAGATTTGACAAATTCAGTGTTGCAACGTTATGACAAGTACTAAATAGTGACGTTGCGAAATTATTCGATATGGAAATGCAATATTTCTGGATCGATTCTTCTCGTTTATAATTTTACTCCCGTAAACTAAGTATATCAGGAAATTAAACATTTCTGAACCGATAATTTAGTTTTGGCGATTAATTAACGATCTGAGACTTTTCTTTTATAATTGTGTGTGAAATAAATGAAAAAATGTAATCATGAAGAAACATGACAAATAAAACAGATAGATGTATTATGGTAATAAGTTATTTTATAAATTATCGCCATCATCGCTATCGCTATCCTGTCACTTTCTGTAACATTTATTATAAAACACACACACTGATTGTTTATCGATTTTTGTGTTCATCACTACAATATTATATGTGGTATCATTATTTCACAAAATGACAGTAGCTATTGTCAAATCTGGAATCTAATTAAAATTCCGACTATATATATATATAACTAAGAAGTTTATTTCGTTTTTAACCTTTTATAAGGAAATACTATAATTTTGAAACTAATGCATGCTTATCCAATTTTCTTTCTATAATTTTCTAACTGCAGGATAGTTTTAATGTAATACAAGAGAAATAAATAGCAAGCTGTATATATCACCTTCCTTTGTCATTCAAAATCTCTTTCTAAAGATATCTTAATCACCCAGTACACCGAAACTTATAATTTTACAAGTAATTTTTTTTAACTATTTTACAAGGTGTTACAGAAGGCAAACATAATCAAGGATTTTTTTAAAGGGGGAAACTCATAGAATGTCTGCTCCCGCCTGGGTGAGGCGGGAGGGAGTGTCACTCTTTCTAACTAAAAAAACCACCCCGTTCCTACTCCTGTACGTCGAGCCGGAGCCCCGGTTACCCGTTAGGTTCTCCGCGACTCTAAATCGGCATCAGCCTTATTGGACCCCATCCGTGGTGGTCTGATGGCTCTTTGAGGCGCGCGCGGAACGCTCGGCGCCGTACACTCGGGTCTGTTTCTGGTCGGACGGGGAGTCACCCATGCTCGCCGTCCGCAGGCCCGCGAACATAATCAAGGATACAGTTTCTTTATACCATAATAAATGTCATTGCGAAGTGTTCTTTACATAGTCGGGATGTAAAACAATTTTAAAACACCAAAATAAAAACTCTTTCAATTGAAATAAAAACTAGCAGTCAGCTCATGGATGCCAGTAAACTATTTCTTTTGTATTAATGAATTTTTTAGACTTAAACGTGCTAGAATTTAAGGAATAACCTGGCGTGTAGGCGAAAGGCGTGATGTTTCACGCCTTTTATACGCCCGAAGGAGAAGGCAGAGGTGGACATTACGGCACTTAATGCCACTGGACAATGTAACACCCACTTTTCACGATTATATTTTTATTTTTACGAGTCCCATGTAATAGCCAATAGGAGGTGAGCCTATTGACATATACCGGGCACAACTCCAGAGTGGTACTACTGAGAATTAAAAAACCCAGTAATAAGTAAGTTTAATGAATGTTTTGAACGGATTTGGTGTTCATTTACATTATTTTACATGATAATAAAAAAACAAAATACCCGACTGCACACTAAAAAAAGAGTAAAACAAGCCCCACAATAATATTGATCAATCAAATGCTAAAAACTAATTATGTAATACCGTTTAAACAATACCTATATTAAAATACACTACAATATGTGTTCGTAATCGATAGTTAAATAAACAGAAACTTATTTTGAATACAAATTTACTGAATATAATTTATAAATGTTGATGGAAAGCATCGCAGGCGGGGACCACCTTGACCGCCACCAACGAAAATTCTGCTAAATGGTGCACAACCGAAATGACTATAAATAAGCCTCTGTTGGTCCCCGCCTGCGATGCATTCCATCAACATTTATAAATTATATTCAGTAAATTTGTATTCAAAATAAGTTTCTGTTTATTTAACTATCGATTACGAACACATATTGTAGTGTATTTTAATATAGGTATTGTTTAAACGGTATTACATAATTAGTTTTTAGCATTTGATTGATCAATATTATTGTGGGGCTTGTTTTACTCTTTTTTTAGTGTGCAGTCGGGTATTTTGTTTTTTTAATAATAATTTTTTTATTTATAACTTTTTAGCTGTTTTTATTTCGATATATACAAATAGGGATATATCGAATAAAATCGCTATTTAGAGACGACCGTCAACGACGTGTGCCCTCATGCGTGTGCCCGCAATCGGGCTGTATACTCGAGCATATCCCCCTCCGCACCGCGCCGCGCGCCGCATGCCAGGCCACGCCCTATCTTTTTGCTTGCTAACGCATGAGTTGCTTTGCGTTGACGCAGAATTAACATGTTCCCGTGGGAATTTTGAGAAAAAACGTATCCTATATTAATTACTCCCGTGATTGAAATGAATCTAATGATACCGCATACATATTTTTTTAAAGGGAAATTTAGAAAAAATATTATTATGTCTTTATCCCGTGGGACTTTTAGGATAAAATGTATCCTATGACACTCCCGTAATCAAGACAAATCTAACGATACCTCATACATCAAAATCCATCAAGCCGTTTAGGCTACAGGTGGTCACAAAGGAAAAGACATACATACATACTTACATACACTCGAAAAACATTACCCTCCTTCTTTGGCAGTCGGGTAAAAAGAGGTAGTCCATAATATTTTCTACAGAGTTAAAGAGCTAAGCTATAGATTCCGTAACACCCTGCATTGTTTGTTTAATTGTCTCCTTACACAGTAGAAACCATGCAATCACCAAACACCTCATTAGAAGCTTCACCTTTCATTAAGTCAGCATTTATAATCTATGTTAATCAAGTCAACTATAGATACTATAATAATATCATAAAATTTTTGTTAATAAATTCAAAATAATTTTATTATTTATATCGATTTAGTTATACTATTTTCTATAGTTTAATTAATTTAATGATTTAATTAGTTAAAAAGGTTGCGTAAACTCCAACCCCTAATGTCTAGTAAAATCGAATTTATAATTATATTTTCATTTTGTATGAAAACTTTATTGAAAACCTCATTTTAATTAAGATGTTAAACGCCATGGGGATCACCGGTGACCGGCGTTAGCGGAGGATTTACATTCCAGTTTTTTATTGGCATTGAAAGTCTTAAAATGCATAGAGAGATTTTATATTAACTCTTATATATCCTATTTAAATGACTAGATAGTTTTTAATGGACCCGAGTGCATGGAATGACATAATATGAATAACGAAAATAAATTAATACCTTTACCCAAATAATGCTGACCATTGTACACTGTAATTATAACTTGCATCATACAATATTGCATAGTTGATCTGTCAAAGTTATTGGAATCCATATTGCACCTTTTTTAAAGTCAGTTAATTAAGTAAAGTAGTTCTTTTTTGTTGTAAGGACTGTAATTTGAAATGTAAATATTGTAACAAGCAATGGGGGATTTCTATTAGAAATTTGATTATTGAATTTGATTCATAATATTATTAACGTGTGTTTAACTTACATGCCTATACCATATGAGGCAGGTGTGAGGTTGTGTAACTATGTACGTCAAGTTAAAAAGATCTTTA